GTATTTATACACTTGGATCAGGGGTTGAAACTTAGGTCTATACGTATAGTGAGAGCTTTAGCAAGGGGTTTACAGAAAGAATAGAGGAAAATCTAGAGCCGGAAAGGGATAGGATAAACCGTCAACTAAAAGGGTAAGGTTTAGTAAGAGAGTGATGGTGTAAAGGTCAAGTTGAGATAGGGTTGAATGATGCTATAGTAGTGATTAAAATAGAATGGAGGTTATTCCCAATGTAAAATACAGAAAAAATAAAAAAAAAATAAAATGGTACTGGAGAGGAAACAAACAGACAAACAAACAAACAAACAAACAAGAAAAAACAAAGAACAAAAAAAAAAAAAAAGGAAAGAAACAAAAATTGCAAAATAGCAGTAGTAATAGTGATGATAGAGATTGAAAAATGTAATAATTGAAAAGGTAAAATGAAGTAAGGAAAAAAATAGAAAAAATTTTTCTTAAGTAAATGCTATAAAAAGTGAAAATTAAAGATGTAAAAAATGAAAATAAAGTAAAGAATAGTAAAATTAGCATAAAAATGTCCAGCAGTGGTCATTCACTTCCTCTGTTAATGTATTTGGCCCTCCTGATTCTCGGACCAGACAGTCTTGCAGTCCCCAGCATTCCACTGCACCTCAGTTTTGTAAGGTAAACCTTAATTTTAAGCAGGTTATATCTTAGTTATTTGTGTCCGTTTATTTTTGATTAATTAAAAGAAAAAAGAAAGAAAAAAAAAAAGAAAAAAGAAGAGAAAAAAAAAAAAAAAAAAGAAAAAGAAGAAAAAAAAAAAAAAAAGGCAGTTTGTAATTCGGCTCTTAGGTGTCAGTGTTTCCGGTTTGACCTCCCAGTCTTTTTGGTTGCTCTGGCCTTCTTTCTCTATGGCTCAACTGGCTCCCGGACTATGTCTTCTGGCTCCAATCCCTTGTTTCCAGAAGGCAAATTCCCCCTACAATTTCCCCGGCTATGCCCAACTGGGCAGTTCTTCTCTAGTATTCAGAAGCAAGGGGATGAATGGGAACCGGTGCCAAGGTGTCCAGATGTTCCGCCCTTGGCGGGACAGCCGCGATTCTTAACACTCTGTCCCGTGTCCCCTGGCGTTTTAAAAAAAGCCCCTCTTCTGGGGGGGATTACTTCAAACCCAGCACTAGGTGTCGCTGCAGCCTTCTCTGGGCTCCGCTCCGCCTCTGCGGGCGGTAGTTCGCGCACCCGTCTACCGTGGAGGCAGGGCTGGAGCTCCCCGGCTACCGTAGCAGAGGCGGGGCCGGAGCTCCCCGGCTGCCGTAGTGGAGGCGGGGCCGGAGCTCGCCGCCGCGGAACCCAGATCCCTTAGGCTATCCCCGCAAACTCTGACCTTTCCGTGGGTGACTGAAGATCTCCCCAGAATCCACGTGTCTGCGCAGCTCTGGGAGTCTCAGCTGCTCGATGGACCTCCGGGCTGTGCGTTTTCCACGCCTCAGAGAAGCTTTTTCCTTCCTGGCAAGACGATGCAGCCCTTCCTCCACGCCCGCAGCCCACCGCTCGCTGCCTCCGCTGCTGCGGCCGCGGCCGTCGTGGCCGCTTGGTCAGGAAATCCTGTCCAGCGGACCCTTCCTTACCCTCCTTGAGAGCTCCGCTGTCCCTTAGCTGCCAAATAACACTCCCTGAGTGACTCAGAAGCCCCCTTTATCCGTTCTGGGACCACAGTCAGAACAGGTCCGACTGTTCGGTCGCCATCTTCAAGCTCCGCCCAAAACTATCCATTTCTGTCTTATTTTCAATAACATTAGTCTTTTGAAGAATACCCAAACTGGGACACCCACCAGAATAATGAAGCTCAATGAAGTGGTGTCTGGATTTTCACTGAAATCTTGTGCACTTTCTCACCTGGGTGAACTATGATTTCCTTAACGGGTGACTGAACCATTCAATAACGGTTGTGATGGTAGGTCTGATGGGCTTAACTTAAGGCCCTCATTTTATGTTCACCGATGACATGGACCCATGATACAGTGTCTTCTTCATGTGAAAAAAAAATTTTTTTTAATATATTTTATTGATTTTTTACAGAGAGGAAGGGAGATAGATAGAGAGCTAGAAACATCGATGAGAGAGAAACATCGACCAGCTGCCTCCTGCACACCCCCTAACGGGGATGTGCCCGCAACCAACGTTCATGTGAAAAATTTTATTATGTCCTATATACTTAGTGTTTATATTTGAATTTAAGCTTAAAAATAATCACTTTGATGTTCCTAATATAAAATTTTTTAAAAGATTTTGAGATAAATGAACTTGAAAAATTTATTATTAAGATATCATTTCTTTAGAGTGATTTTAGGTTCACAGAAGAATGGTGGGAAAGGTGTAGAGATTTCCCTTACACTCTCTACCCCCACATACCCACAGACTCCCCATTATCAACATCTCCCACCAGAGCAGTGCATTTGTTACAATTGATCAACCTACATTGACACATTATAATCGCACCAAGACCATAATTTACATTATAATTCATTTTTGGTATTTTCTGGAGTATTGAAATTCACAGTGGTTTCACCCTAAACTAAGTGCTGGATTACTATATGTGTGCGACTTCTCTTCTCTTTAATGATAGGAGAATTCTAGAAGATCTGTGTTCTAATGATACACACAGTTACAGACCCGAGTTTCATAAAGCATTAGCTTATTGTAGTAAAGATTTAGACCTCTATCTATTTCCAGCCCTTTCACCCACTGTTGGTATGACTTTGGATAGAAACTTAACCCTGGTTGATCTTATCATGTTCAAATGAAAGATTATAACCTGATAAGGACTAAGGTGCTTCCAGCTCCAAAAGCCATTATGAAGAACTGGAGATCACCAAGAGGATTCTCTCCTGATAATACATGATATGAAAAGGTAATTGTGATGTTATGTAGAATGAAATGAAATGAAGGCCATAAGTACACGGTTAAAAGGGAAATAGGAACAGAAACTATGAGTCAACTTATAAATGATCTGCTCTCCTTGATAAAATCTAAAAAGTATCATCATCATAAATATTAAAACCTAATATAATTTTTAAAACCTAAACTGAAGCCTGAGTACTAAATTACTTTTTCAAATAAAATGTATATATACATAAGTATATTTGAGTTCAACAAGAATAACTTAAAAAGTTCTAGAATCTCAACTAATTTATATCCTTTGGGTTTGTCAATTGAACTTGAATTGGCCTATGGGTCCCTCTGTTGGGAAATGTATATGTTTATTTGAGTATGGATATCAGTTAACTCACCATTTGGGAATCAAGACCAAGTAAGGAAATGGTGGTGATGAAAATATAAAAACTCTCTCTTTGGAAGACTTGACCCCAAGGTAAGTGGGGATAAGAAAATATTAGGTGTAGGGATTCAGACTATTAAATTCATGGTCTACACATTGTAAATACAAAGTATCTCTTAAAGAAATACCTTATTCTGACTAAGGAACAGCCCAATAATACAGTTAGGATGCTTCTGCGTTTCTCTTCTTCAACTTGATCCAGATGCCATTAGAAGGACGAAGAATCAGCTCTCCTGCCAGACCAAGTTCTTCTCTTTTCTGGGTGGATTCGACCCAAAAATGCCTCAGGATGAATGAAACAAGGACCTTTTCTTCCATCATGGCAAACCTCTGACCTTCAAATCAATGTAAATAACATGAATTTATTACATATCTATCCCAAATGGGAGAAAGAACAGGTTCTATCAGAGGAAGCAAGTGATGCTAGATTTTCATAGTAGGCCCAGGGAGAACCAGTACCACTCAGGATGCTTCCTAATAATAAAGATTCTTGAGTGCCCTTCCCTGCTCCCCCCCAGGGCATCTGAATAGCTCTGGGGACAAGGAATCTAGCCCATGCAGCACCCAGAGGAATCCTGGCTCACTGAAGCATGAGAACCACTGCTCTAGAATGCTCTCCTCCTGGACCTTTCATGCAGTTTACTATACAGTTACCAGGCCTCATTGCACCAATGCCTGCATTTACATAAACAATAAAATGCCAGAGATACTAAAGCCAAAAGTGCTTCTAATGCATGGTGGTGTGCTTTCATTTTGTTTATGTACTTCTGCTGGTCCATGGTGGCATTTTCTATTTGGTTTTGAAAAAAGCAATTCTTAAAAGCAATAAAAACAGGTTAAATAAATTAATTGTTATAAATATACTTTCTACCATATAGATTATATTCTGCTTCAATCCAAAGATCTACATTTTAAAACTCTACCATGAAACTGGTTATGCTTTATGTTATGGGTTGAATGGTATTCCCCTAAAATTCATAGGATAAATTCATAACCCTCAGTACCTCAGAATGTGACTGCATTTGGGGATAGGGCCCTTAAAGAGGTGAGTAAAATAAAGTGAGGTCCTATGGAAGGGCTCTAGTCCAACCTGACCGATGTCTTTATAAAAAGAAGAGATCAAGCCCTGGTTGGGTGGCTCATTTGGTTGATATATCATCACATTCTCCTTAAGGTTGTGAGTTCAATTTCATCAGGGCACACACCTAGGTTGTGGGATAGATTGCTGGTTGGGGCACATATGGGAGGCAGCCAATCAATATTTCTCTCACGTGAATGGTTCCCTCTCTCTAAAAATCAATAAAAACATATCCTTGAGTGAGATTAACTAGAAACACACACACACACACACACACACAGGAATAAACTATGTGAAGACACAAGAAAACATCCATCTATAAGCCAAGGAGAGAGGCCTCAGAAGAAACCAGCCCTGCAGACACCTTGATCTTGGACTTCTGGCTTCCAGAATTGTGAGAAAATGAAATGCTGTCATTTAAGCCACCCAGTCTGTGGTGCTTTGTTACAGCAGCCCTAGAAAACTGATATACTTTACAACTGTCATAGTAAAGTGGAAAAAAATAGAACAACTTGTTTTTTAACAGACTTGTATCTGAGATACGACATCTCAAAGACATTATTGTGAGAAACCCCTTTCCATGTGCACCCGAAAGGTCAAACGATTCAGATGGATACAAACCTATACAGTTTCTGGGTCCAGCAGAGAAGGGCACATAGGCGTATGGATGGTGTCCCGTCGAATTCTCGGGAAAGAACCGCTCTGGCTTGAACTCTTCAGGGTCTGGGAAGTATCTTGGGTCTCTATGCAGTGCGTAGGGAACGATGAGTAGTTGAGAGCCTTTTGTGAGGTTGTACCCCCCTGTCATGAGGCAGTTGATGTGTCATGAGAACAGAGACACACACACAGAAAAGTCCACTCCCCACTACTTTCATGGAAGAATTCTCACCAACATCACAATCTTCATTAAGTTCACGGGCAATTATAGGCACAGAAGGAAAAACACGAAGGGTCTCCTTAATAACACACTCCAGATATTTAAGTTTCTTCAGGTCTTCTAAGGTAACAGGGCGATCAGAATTCCCTGATCAAAGGAAATACATGAAATAAAATAAATGAAAGAACTATTTGGGCTTGGTGAATAAGATGTTAGAATAGAATACATTATAATATCAATACACTGTTAAATACCAACAGTTAAAGTAAAATTCTTAAAAGTATATATAATCAAAATAAAATGAGACAATAATGCTAAGTAAAAAAAAACAGACACAAAAGGTCACATGTTGTATCATTAAATTTGGAGGAAGTACTCAGAGTAGACAAATTCATAGAGACAGAGAGTAAATAGGTGTTGCAAGGGAGGAAGAGAACATGGGGAGTGGCTGATTAATGATGCAGGTTTCCTTTTGGCTGCTGAAATGGGTTAGCATTAGATAGAGGTGACAGATGCATAACATTGTGAATGCATGAAACTATAAGTTTAAAACATTTAATTTTGAATTCTCAGAGCCTCCTCCAGAAGTGTATCTTCTCATGGGTCAGATTCTTGGGCTCTCCCCAGAGCCTAGCCCCCCATTTCCACCTCAAGAAGAAATCCAAATGGCTTCTTGGTCTTGCCAATGGGAGAAAAAACACAGCAGGAAGCAACTGGACATATTGAGAAAGACAAAATGAGATTGACCAATGCAGTGAACAAGCCAGTGAGAAAATTCTGAAGATCAACATATTACAAATTCTGCCAACCATTGTTTTTCAGAAGAGGTAGGACTTGATGGCCCAAATCCCAAATTTCCAAGTATCAACATTTGCAACCATCTTTATGCCTGCACTGCTTGGGGAAACGGATGGGAAGGCACTGTGTTATTTAATCAGAGTTGAAGTGATAGAAATGAAAAGTAATAAATCAGGTCACAGAACAGCTTTTCATTTCAATGAATACTCTTCCTTGGAAAATAAGTGCACCCAAAGAATTTTGTCTGAGTGCAAGCCGTGATGTATTTACAAAGTCCACTGAAATATCTGGAAAGGATTTGATGAAATGTTCAAATGCACTGCAGGATAAAGCCAGCAGGAAGAGGCTGAGAACCAAAAATGTAGTTATGGCCACTCTGCAGATGCAGATAAGGTGGGAGAGATCATCCAAGGTGATTTTTGTAAAATCCAATTCATTACTACTTGCTTCCTTATATGGAAGATGAAGAAGGGGAAGGAGAAGAGAAGAAAATGATGATGGAGGAGGAGAAGGAGAGGATTGAAATCTACCAACGAAGAAGCTGATGAGGATGAAGGAGAAGATGACTAAGGAACACTGATGGATTTGAACCTTCTTTTTGAAAGTTTCCTCCAGTCACAGGGAGCAAGTTGCTGTCTGGGATTTTTTATTCATTTATTTATTTTTGTTTTGTTTTACTCTTAGGCTTAGTCCTTCTGCTCTTGAAGTCTTTTCTCTCCCTTACATCCTGGTTCTCAACTTATTTGGGGGAAATACCAAAACAGTGGGACAAGAATCTCTAACATTTTCTGTTCCAAATTCACTTTTCTTTTTTATTTTAAAAGGTATTTTTATTCTTTCCATTGATTATTATTTATTTATTTTTCTTTATTGATTAAGGTATTACATATATGCCCTATCCCTTCATTGCACCCATACACCTCCACTCATCCCCTCACCCACCTGGTGTCTGTGTCCATTGCTAAGGCGTAGATGAACGCATACAAATCCAAATTCACTTTTATCCCTTTCGACTCAACAAACACTATATGGAATCACTGTCCCTGTGCTCCCTGGGAAAGAAAAACCTTCTGCTTACATTGCTCCGCTGGAGGCTAGAGGCTCAGCCCCCTGCAGCAGTGCACAGAATTCTAGCTTTTTCCCTCCTTTCCCTGTACATTGAGCACACAGATTAGACTGTGTCTCTGTGAAGTGGGACAGTTAGCATTTACCAACATACACCTGTCTACTTCCTCTTGTATGGAACATTTTTTTTTAACAACAACAACAAAAATGTTTATAGAAGGTCAAAGGGTAGAGATGAAATGTTTGGGGTAGTTAAGTAGCATTTTGACAAGAAGTCTTCCCCTTTGGTATACTTGTGATGTTTAATGGACTTCCTTGCAGCTTAAGATGATACTTTTAAAATAAAGTCTCTCCTAATAATGGCCTGGGCCCTGCCACTCAATGGGAGAAGAGCGGACCTGCAGAATCTTATTTGGATTCCTCATTCTATATTGTATTTTGTTCCCATTTATTTAATATTTTGTTTGTTTGTTTCACTAGAAAGAAAAGGTAATGTTCAATTTTAAACATTAAAAGTGAACCGGTTGCTTTCTTATAATGAAAGTAAATGTGAAGTTTACTCCAGTAACAAACAAACAAAGAGAGAGAGAGAGAGAGAGAGAGAGAGAGAGAGAGAGAGAGAGAGAGAGAAATGAATACTTACATCTCAATATCCAAAGATCAGTTTCGGCAAGTTTTTAGAACTTGCCAAAACCGGTTTGTTTCGGTGGATAGTGCGTCGGCCTGCGGACTGAAGGGTCACAGGTTCGATTCCGGTCAAGGGCATATACCGTGGTTGCGGGCACATCCCCAGTGGAGGGTGTGCAAGAGGCAGCTGATCGATGTATCTCTCTCATCAATGTTTCCAACTCTCTATCTCTCTCTGTTCCTGTGTGTAAAAAATCAATAAAACATATTTTTTTTTAAAAATTTAGAACTAATACTGGGTATAGAAAAGAAGTGAGGAACAATTAGCAAAAAGCATGGGAAGCAGCAGAATAAAAATCCTAGTAAAAATGGTGTCACTAATTATGTGAGAGCCAAAACCATTTGTGACACTAGAATCGGGCTAGAAATTGTAAAAAAAAAAAAAAAAAAAAAAAAAAAAAAAAAAAAAAAAAAAAATACACAAACGTGGGAACACATTACAAAAAAAAATCTGGGTCTCTAGAATACCCAGTTTACCCACCAAAGGCAATCTGAGAGAAATTCAATTTGATTCAGGAAAAATGACAGAAACAGCCCAGAAGTTTAGATCGTCTCCATTCTACAAAACACAGTCTTCCCTCTTGATATGAAAATATAGTCCTCACACTATCTGGACATGAAATTACTTTTCCAACTTTACTTCTCAATGGTTCTAACAAAGGTTCTGATTTCCACCTGTCTATTATCTGCCAACTTTTCCACTCTGCCATTGTGCACCAGGAGCCTCTCTTCCCAGAATGCCTTCCACCTCCTCCTCTTCTCCTTTATTATTCCTCCCCACTTTGCACTAGGAAAACCCATCAGATACCACTGTGTTGGTTGGCCAACCATCCTTTACCTTTCTTTTCCCAGCCATGGGAAGCCATATGACATCTGATTAAACAAATAATTAAGTTGATGGCACAATGCACAATTCCTTTGTGGTAGGCTGATCACGACCCACAAATATGTCAGATCCTAATTCCTAAAGCCTTTAAATATTACCTTTTTTTGGGAAAAAGGTGCTTTTGAACATTTTACGAAGGTAGGCTATAAATGCCACCACAAATGTCATGATAAGAGAGAGCAGAGGGAGATTTGACACACACCCACAGAAGAGAAGGTCATGTGAAGATGGAGACAGAGATTTGAATGATGTGGCCATAAGCCAAGGTATGTTGGCAGTCACCAGAAGGGATGCATTCTTCCCTCAGGCTTCCAAAAAGTGCAGCCCTGCCAAAACATTGATTTAGTTCAGAGATACTGATCTGGGCCTTCTGGTGTCTAGAACCGTAAGAAAATAAACTTCTATTGTGTTAAGCCACCCAGTTTGCAGTATCTGTGACAGCAGTCAAAGGAGACTAATATTATCCTTCATCTCCTCTTCCCCTGTCTTCATGCCTTCAAGATAAACATGAGATCCAGAACAACAATCAAGAAAACAAAATCCATGATGATGAAAATGACACAGAGAGAAAAGAGCAAGCCTGGGATTCTCACAACATCCCTGTTGGCATCAGCCTAGGACTCCTTACCTACAGGTTACTGGTTGTGCAAAACAATTAATGTCCCATCTGCTTACCCACAGCAATTCTATACGGAACAGCTCTCCTGGACCCCGCTAACCAGCTTCACCTCTCCTCTCTGCTCTCCACTAGCCCCTTCCTCATATTGCCCAAGCACACAGCTATGACTTGATACTTTATACACAGTGACTGCTTCACCTATGAAGCAAAGAGGTCCTGAGGCAGTGACATTTGTCTGTGTAGCCCCAGCATCTAGCCCGGTGCAGTCACACGCCAAGCAATCAGCAAGCACCCATAAACAAATGGATGAGGCTTGGAAAGGACATTAGGTCTGGAAGGGGTCCCACATGGCAGCCTTCCTGCTTATTACAGTGTCTTTAGATCAGGCCCTACTGCACTTTCTTAGTGAGCAAGAATGCCATTTGCTTCAGTGACTTGGGACCTTCTGTGTAAATAGTGAAGGGGCCATACATACCAAACACTTCGTCCAGTTCATTGTCCACTTTTTTCTGGACTTCTGGATAGCAACCCAATAGGTACAAGGCCCAGTTTATTCCAGATGCAGTTGTGTCATGGCCCTACAATGTGAGAGAGAGAGAGAGAGAGAGCAAGAGCGAGAGCGAGAGCGAGAGCGAGAGAGAGAGAGAGAGGGGGGGGGGGAGAATAGATTAGAAAGCAGAGTTCTATTGGGAAGGTTACAGATGCTAGCTCTATTTTGAATTGTCTCTGGAACTGATACCTGTGATGTGACCCCAGACAGAACAAGTTAATTTCATACAGTATTTTATCTCGGTGGGGAACAAACCAATGGAACAATCTCTTCAAAGGGGACGCCTTTGGTAAAGGGACATTTCAATAGGACAGAGTCACATATCTGGTGAGAGTAGGGGCTGGTCTATCAGGAGGCCTTCCAAGGGAACTCCATGGGCTGAACTGTTTTTGAGGAAATAAAAGTGTGACTTTTCTGAGCCAAGTGGCCAGATCTGCACTTCTCCACTGTCTCCCACTTGTAAGGTCGGCTTTATCTGGACACCAGGGAACACATGGGTGGTTCTGAGTTGGTCTACACATCCAGAAGTTGATAAATAGCCCCACTTAAACTTTGAGGCAAAATACCAAACATTTTGTAGAAATGAACTCAATTATTCTTCACAAAAAAACTATGCGAGCCCAGCCAGCCTGGTTCAATGCTTGAGCATCGACCTGTGAACAGGAGGTCATGGTTGGATTCCTGGTCACAATGCATGCTCGGGTTGTGGGATCAATCCCCAGTAGGGGGCATGCAGGAGCAGCTAATCACTGATTCTCTCTCATCATGGATGTTTCTGTCTGTTTCTCCCTTCCATAAAAATATATTTCTCTGAATCAATAAAACAATATATATATTTAAAATTTTCATGGCATGCTTGATACTGCATTTCACATTTTAGAGATGACAAACTGAGCCCCAAAAGATGCTAAGTGACTTTCCCAGGCCCAACAGCTTCATAGGAAGTGGAGGCAAGAATAGGGGCTTGGCATTTCTGATGACAAAGAAGAGTCCACACTCTTCACCTCAAGGAGCATGAAGGATGTGGGGTGAGGAGACTCCAGCTCCAATGCTGAGGGTGACACCTGGATGACCTTATTTTCTGTCTGTTCAGTGTCTTTAGGCATCGGCCCCTCACCAGGACACTCCTCATGCAAAATGATAAGTTCTTCAGGGGGAAAAAATGTATTTGAAAAATAAAAAATAATATTATATCTCTTTCTGGTCCATTTACCCTATGCAACACAAGTGACCATTGTAATATTTCATCTTCCGGACAGATGTCTCTGAAACACTTGTCTTAGTTCCTAAGTGGAATTATTAAGGACTTTTCTGCAATTTCAAGAAAATATGTTTATAAGTCTCTAATGTTGGCATGATTGTTATTTTCTCTCACTTGCAATTTCTTTACAGAAATGGCTCTGAACTCCAGACAAAAGTTGGCCCATGTCACCCAGTTGCTTAGCAAAGTCATAGAGGAAGTGGTCTTGCTAAACAATTTTAATAGATTCTCTTGAATTTGAAAATGAAGTTCCTTTTTATTTTTGTCTGCGACCCAAAGGCAGCAAACACAAAGCATAGAGCCAAGTGCATTGGCGGAACTGCGCAGGGCAAGAATCCGCCAGACCAGGAGCATAAAGAGCCTGGCATAGACATAGAAGCAAGAAACAGATTGTTACATCTCAGAGGGAAGGAGGGGGTGGATGTGTGAGTGGGTGATAAGGGATCAACCAAAGAATTTGTATGAACTAAGTAGTGCAGTCGTGTGGAGTCTGCCTACGTGTGGTGCTCTTGCGGCTGTTCTGGCCAGATATTTCAATAAATCTTTGCCTGCATTTTTTAATAAAAAAAAAAAAAGAATTTTTATGCATATATGCATAACCCATGGACAGAGATAATAGGGTGATGAAGGCTGGTGTAGGGGGCAGAAGCAGGCTATAAGGGGCCAATGGGAGAAACGGGGGACCTTTCTAATATGTTTAACAATAAAGATTTAAAAAAATAAGTAAAATGAAATATAAAAGTAAAAAAAATAAAATAAAAGGCCTGGCAGCAACAGCCTGCATCCTCTTATGGAGGAGGTCACAATACTGCCGTTGTAAATGACACGCCACTGTTTCATGGGAAGAAGGAAAAAATTAGAATTCAAAGAATGTTAGAGCTGTAAGAAAGATCGTTAGTCTTGTTGTTCTTGTGGAAATGCGAGGTTACCGGTGGGAGGTGATGTGTATGTGCAGGTGTGAGTGGGTGGATGTGCAGGTGTGAGTGTGTGGATGCATGTATGGGGGCAGGGGCCATTTCAGCATCAGATACCAGCCAATATCTGTTACACAAGAATGTGCCAGCACTATGGCTGGTGCACATTAGGAAATGATTCCCCTAGTCCTCAGGGCTGTACTGTACGGCCTGTGCTATGACTATGAGGACACAGAGGCTCCAAAAGGGAGAGGAGTGCCCGAGGTCATACTTCTAATATAGGTCAGAGCAAGGATTGGCCCCACAGCCCACTTCCAGTGAATTACATGTCCATTTTTTGCATAATGTTTCTTTTCAATAAAGTGATCTGCTTAAAATAGAAGTTTCAAACCACTGATATAGCCCATCTTTCCACACAGGGGACTGAGGCAGAGATCTGCAATGACTGGGCCTGTCTCCTATGGCTTGGCAGCACAGACCTGGAAGCAGTCAGGTCTGTGAACCCATCACACCGCTTGCTTCCTGCCACGGAGCCCAGAGCCTTCCTCCTGGGGAGCCACTGAACCCAGACGGCTGCAGGCAGAGCAAACACAGTGCGTGCAGTCCGCCGTCGAAAACTGAAGGCTTTCCCTTTCCTCCATTTCCAGGATATTCCACATGCTGCTTCTTAAAATCACTTCTTAATCTTTATTTACTAAGCCACAGATTAAGAGGTTTTCTCTTTATAATATTTAATGTAGTTACTTGTAAAGTTAGTTATCTTTTTTTGCAAAGATAACTAACTTTACAAGTAACTACATTAAATTCATCGTTTTGCCCAGACATTGTAGCTCAGTGGTTGAGTATTGATCTATGAACCATGAGGTCATAGTTCAATTCCTGGTCAGGGCACATGCATGAGGCAGCCAATCAATGATTTTCTCTCATCATTGATATTTCTATCGCTTTGTCTCTATCCATTTCTCTCTCTCTCTCAAAAACAAAAAAAAAAAACAAAAAAAAAAAACGGTGAGACAAACATGACAACGCAAAATACCTCAAACATGAAGGTGTCCACTTCTTCTCGAATGGCCTCATGGCTTAGCTTGTTCCCTTCATCATCCACCACATTTAAGAGCAGGTCGAGAAAAGCCTTGCGTTTTCTGTTGGAGGGGGTCTTGCCCTTGTCACCACTTGTACGTTCTTCTTCTCTCTTTATTTCATTGGCCCGTTCATGGATGACCTGTATGATTTAAATGATCACATGCTTTTGTGTGGAATTTGATATGGCCTAATAGTTCATTTTGCTGTGAAAATATACCAGATTCTTTAACTGATTTTTTTTCCCTAAGCCTTTCCTGTTCTATCTCACTCAATAGGAACTTAGGATTTTGTGAAAATATAGTAAAGCTTTCTGTGAATATTTTTAGGGCATTATTTTATAAGATTTTAATTTTTAAAATTTAATAAATCTTTATTGTTCAGATTATTACAATTGTTCATCTTTTCTTCCCCCCATAACACCCTTTCACCAGGTTCCTACCCCACCCTCTACCCTTACCCCCCTCCCCACTGTCCTCATCCATAGGTATACACTTTTTGTTCAGGCTCTTCCCGCACCCCCAATTCCCCTTTTCCCCAAGAAATGTCAGTCCACTTCCTTTCTATGCCCCTGATTCTATTATATTCACCAGTTAATATTGTTAATCAGATTTTTTTATTCTTTGGGTTTTTAGATTCACTTGTTGATAGATACATATTTATTGTTCATAATTCTTATTTTTTTCTTCTTCTTCCTTTTCTTAAAGAATACCTTTCAGCATTTCATATATTATAATATTGGTTTGGTGGTGATGAATTCCTTTAGTATTTTTTTTTTTATCTATGAAGCTCTTTATCTGACCTTCAATTCTGAATGATAGCTTTGCTGGGTAGAGTAATCTTGGTTGTAGATTCTTGCTATTCATTATTTTGAATATTCCTTGCCACTTCCATCTGGCCTGCATAGTTTCTGTTGAGAAATCAGCTGACAATCGTATGGGTGCTCCCTTGTAGGTAATGAACTGTTTTTCTCTGTAAGATTCTCTCTTTGTTTTTTATGATGTGTCTTGGTGTGGTCCTCTGTATTCCTTTTGTTTGTGGTTCTGTGTGCTTCCTGGACTTGTAAGTCTATTTCTTTTACTAGGTGGGGGAAGTTTTCCGTCAAATAGGTTTTCAGTATCTTGCTCTCTCTCTTCTTCTGGCACTCCCATAATTCTGATGTTGGAATGCTTGAAGTCCCAGAGGCTTCTTACACTATCTTCAACTTTTTTGGATTCTTTTTGCTTTTTGCTTTTCTGGAGGAGTGTTTTTTGCCAAATCTTTGACTTGATTCTTGCGATTCTGTGGTCTGCTTTTAGGTCTCTGTATAATATTTTTTATTAAAATCAGTGTATACTTAATTTCTAGTTAATCCTCTTTCATATCCTGGAGGATCTCATTAAATTTATCAGCCTTTCCTTGGAAATTCTTCAAAAATCTTACAACTGTGATTTTGAACTCTATATCCTGTCTTTTGCTTTCCTCTGTTTCCTTCATTTGTGACCTGCCTCTTTGTCTCTGCATTTTAGCTGCTTCCCTGAGTTGATAGAGTGGCTTTGTGTGTTAGGTATCCTAGCAGGGCCCAGTGGCTCATTCTCCCCAGTTACCTGAGGTGGACATTATTGGTGCACACCTTTGTGGGCTGTGTGTGCAGTCTTGTTGTAGTTAAGCCTTGATTGTTGTTGGTATCACTGGGGGGAATTGACCTCCAGGCCAATTGGTTGTGAGGATCAGCAGTGTCTCCACTGAGAGAGCTTCTGTGCTCAGCTTGGTTGGGGTGTAGTCTCAGGGTGGAGCAGATAGCCTTGGTTTCCCGTCAGTCCAACCCTAAGAGGCTCACGGTCCCACAGCAATGGCGGCCCACACCTCTGCGATTCATTGCTCTCGAGTTTCGCCAGCTGCCAGACAGTCCAGTTTCTCCTCGAATGAGTTTGGTATCCAAAGTCTCAACTGAAGCTGGATTTCAGTGCAGTTGGGAGGTTTTGTTTTCCTCCCAAATGAGAAAGCTTGCCACACACTTGCTACCAGCCCTTTCAGTGCTCTGTGAGTAACCCAGCAGCTTATTCAGCTGCCCATCCTTTTCGTGTGCACAGGTCTCTGCATCTCTGTCCTCCACAGCTCCTCTAAGTCTCAGTGTCTTTTCCTCTTTTCTTCTAGTTGTAGAATTTCCACTCAGTTAACATTCCAATGGTTCTGGATGATGTCTGCTCTGTCTTCCAGTTGCAGATTTTAAATTGTGCGAAGCAGCATTATAGATGTTTATTCTGACACCTTGGTTTCTCCTTGATAAGATTTTTAAAACAAATTTAATGTCAGGCACACAAATCATTTCCAAGGACTATTTTTGAAGCCTTTCCAACATAGGAATAAAGTAGTAGTCTCCTGAATAGGGCCTCAGCAAGTTTAAAGAAAAAGTTGGGTGGTGGAGAGAACACAATCTTTATATGATAGACTAATTATAGATCACTCTAGTTACATACTGTATTAGAGAAAAGATTTACCTTGTATGCTACCACTCCTTCTGCCTAGAATGCTCTTGCCTCAGAAGCCAGCATGACTAGCTTCCTCTTTAGTCTGAGATTTCTGCTGCCCATGGTCACACTGTCACTGCTACCCTAGTCCCTGGCACTCACTCTCTTTCTATGCCTGCTTTACCTTTTTTCCATTTCACTTACCACCTGGCATTGTATTTGTTATTTAGTGACTTTATCCCCCAACTGCAATGTAGCAGAAAATTTGTCTTTATTCATTCATATATTTTCAACCTTTAGAGCACTGCTTGGCATTTTAGAAATGTCCATCAGGTATGTGTTGAGTGAGTAAAAGAATGGAAGCCCTTGAGCTTAATTTGGTTACACATTTCAACTTTTTCCTCCTTTCAAGCAATCATCAAACCTGCTTTTGCTTTGATTGAACAGATCACAAGTTCCGTAGGGCAAGCACCGTGTCCTCTCTTTGATTCTTTTTGGAACCTCTGTTGCCTGGCACTCAGTATGCAATTTTTGATATTATCCATTCAATCTGGAATTCATTCATTATTGATACTGGTATTAATGCATGAAATTTGCAGACAAGTATAATTATACCTATAAAATACAAACTGTTCATCTTTTACCTCCTGTCAGGCAATTATGCTATACTCCACTGAGGGCAGCTCACTCCAACATCTCATTCATCAAACATCTAGGGACTCTACCACTTGATCTGTTGGTGGAGGCAGAACCTCATTGTCAGGAAGCAATGCCATCATATTGAAAACTAAAATTTACAGCAAAGGGGAAATATAATTACTTTGGCACTTTTATCAGGACATTTAAGTTATAATGCATGCTTTCAATTAAAGTTTACCTTTCCATAAGCATTCTTTTAACACAAAGACAGACTATATCCAGAACATTACTATTTCCTTGTCATTAAAAATTAAATAGTAATATCTAGTTAATTTTTATCTTTTCCGGTTTAAGATACTGCCTTAAATGCACTTTCTTTGTCTTTAAAAACCACTGCCTAATCCAAACATTTTTCAGAAGATTCTTATAACACAGTTTCTTGTGTTTATTCTCTTAGCATAGCGCCCAGTTTGTTAATAAACTGTCATAGCTGATATTACATTTGTAACTATTTATTTATAGACAACCTCCCTAGTAGACTAGCCTCCCCCATGAGGGAACATTAATGGCTGGCTGTGTTAACAAACGTAGGAGTCATGCACTTATAAAATTTCTAGAAAGTGATAGTGGGAGGGGTTGCACAACATTGTTAATGCTCCCAATGCCACTGACTGGTACACTTAAAATGGCTAGTGTGATAAATTTTATGTTATGTATGTTTGTCCACAATAAAATAAAATGAGGACTTACATTGTTGGTAAAATTATGTAAGATCTTTAGGTTCCTTTTGTGGTCCCATCCTTGTTTAAACAAAAGGTACAAAACGTCATGCCAGAGCCAAAACGTCCTCATCCTTTCTTGTAGCAAGTCACTCGTCCTATAAACAGGATTCAAATGTATCAGCTGATATATCAAAATTTGCATTGCTTGAATACCTATTTGGTGCCTGGTCTCCATGAGGGGAATATGTGGCAACCTTGATAATACGTCTTAGTGGTTACTAAGAGCTCTATGCTTTATGCTTAACAATGAAGGCATGGGTTATTACACATCCAAGGGAAGCTTAAGAATTAAATGGACCTTTTAGAGGAATGAAAAAGCCATTACAAAACATCCTCACTAGATGGCCGTCTGATCTCTCCTTCTATTTCTTCAGAGGAGTTCTGGACCTCCCCGAGCTGCCTGTAGCTCTTATACCACAGGGTGGAGTGAAATCTGCCTGTTTAATGTCCACATATTTGCTTGATCACTCTTCTGGCTGTCCTCTTCTGCAGTAAAATGCCCCTCTGTCACATCCCTGTCCTGAGTCCCTCCCTCAACATTTCCTGTGATGGAGCAGACAGACCTAGACTTGGTCTCCTCCTTTGAGAGCTGCTTCCAGGCCAATTTTCTGCAGAGTGGCCTTTCCTGGTCATTCAATCTGTGGGCCTTATTGCTGTTTTCTTCTCAAATATCAATTTTATTTCTCTTTGTAGGCAATTATTATGGGTTATAGTTTATACTAATTTGTTTCAATGTTTGTCTCCCTGTTATTCTGTTTTATAGATCACTATAAAACTAGTCAATATCTTGTGTAATGAATGGCTGATTATAGGCTATCTAATAAAAGCCTTTTATGTTGTGTGTCTGGTCGTCCAGATGGCCATTCAACCAATCAAAGTGTAATATGCTGAGGATATGCTGACTACTCAACTGCTTCCTATGAAGTGCACTGACCACCAGGGGACAGACGCTCTGCCCTATATATTAGCTTACTGCTGTAGTCAGGCTGATCTGACTGAAGGAGATGGACTGGACTTGTCCTAGAGCCTTCCCAGGGTACTTCTTGACTGGCCAACCTCCCACATCCCTCCCTGGCTTGATAGTCCACTGATGGTGTCCCCAGGCCTGGCCTGCAAAATCTTATAATCTGTGGAGGAAGGGGGAGAACCCCTGCCCCTAAGTGCAAGAATTTCATACACCTGGCCTCTCGTATGCTAATATATGTTAAAATGAAATGGGCAGTGGACTTAAAGAGATAATTATTTAAATCAAACCCTCACCTTGCCTTTTAATATTTGAATATTCTCAAGCAATTTTTCAAATAAATATGACTATTCCAACTAAAAAAATAATACACACTCAGTGCAGAAAATATGGGAAGAGAGAATTAATAACAACACAAACAAGAAAGAGAAGCACACAACACAAAACAATAATCACAGCTAACATTCTGGAATAATATATATAAGTTTTCTTTAATAAACAATTTTTACACCTAGTGGTTATCATGCTAAAATACTGTTTTTATCTTTATTTTATCACTAAGCATCATAATGTAATTGCTCAAGATATCATAAAATAATCATTTAAAATTATAGCCTGGGTGTTCCATAATTTATACAATAAATGCTCTACTATTAAAATACAAGCTTCAATGATTAGATTGATTTTTGTGCAATATCTTATTGTGAAACAATGAAAAAGATACAACACAGACAAAAAAACCTATTAGCCATATTTCTTAAAGCTTGAATCAATAACCATTTAAAAAATAATTAGAAGGGCTCTGTTTACCTATAAACTGCACGGACATACTCCAAATCATCATTAGTCTGAGCATCAATGTTCTTGCCCATAGCTGTTTCTGCAAAATATGGCTGAGAAGCAACCATTCAATTCATGCACATGCCTTGTGTTTAATTTCCAGCGGCAAACACTTGGAAAATAAGATAAATTCTTACAGGTTTTAGAATTGTTCCTTTCCCCTTTCACTATTGCACATTTTTTTTTCTACTCCTATTTCTCTTCCTTCTTCCCTCTGACCTTCCTGGCAGGTTGGCTCTGCTCAAAACCCTAGCAGTGGGCACTGCTTCTCAGGAGCCCAGGTTAGCGGAAGGACCACCCCAAAGAAGCCAATATCCTGTCTAACCCCTCATTTGCCTTCCCAGTGAAGAGTTATTTTCTATTTGAGCCATTTTCTGTTTACACCATAGCTCTAGAAACAAATCAATGAGACTTACCACAGATGATATCTAAGGCACAAAGTGTGATGTAAAAAAAGCAGTTAAATTTTTCTCCATCAACATGTTTTTCAAGCTTTTTAACCAATATGTTGGCTTGTTCATTCATGACATCTAAGAACTCTTCCAGAATGGTAAAATGAAAAGATGGTGTTAACATTTTTCTCCTGGAGCGCCATTTGTTTCCAGTACTAGAAATGCAAGACATGGTTACAAATAAGAGAAAAGCAACATCCAAAACAAATAAAGCATAGTCAAGACAATGAATTCTCCTTAATCCGCAGATTCTCCTTAATCCGCAGATTCCCAACTGCTTTGGTCAGAATGTTAAGGGGAAATTTATATACAGTTACAGAATAGGCATAGTTTAGATATTGTCTATATTACTAATATTTAAAAGAGCACTCATCAGAATTAAAAAATTTAAGAAGTTTTCTAAATTTCTAAGTTCTGAGTTTCCAATAATTAGGAATTTCCTCCCTTTTTCCAACTTCAGCCTCTGAAGATCAAGGAGCTCCCTGAGTCTACTTTGATCCTAGCATCTTCAAAGTCTCCAAAGTCCTCGTGGAAGTCCTGCTTTCTCCTTCTCAGTTCATGGGGTCCTGTTCCTGGATGGCAGCGCAAGGACTGAGGTTACTGTGCTCCCCTTACTTCTCTGAGGATGACTGCCTTTTTCATTGAATTTTCAAGGTTTCCCTGCTCAAAACACCCTGGTGCCGTACTCCTTTTATACATTGGCACTTTCTTACCCTCCTTCGAACACAGATGATCATCATTATTGAATGCCATGGCTAGAGATTACACCCAGGTTTCCTGTCTCTCAGAGGCCCATTATCTATCACCCAACCTTTCCAGCTTTTCCCTACTACCTGATGGCACATTCTTGCTATAGGAAAACCACCTCCTGTCAGTGCCTGACATAAGTTACGCACAAGACAGCTTTACCTACTTACACTGACTTACCTTGTAAGAAGTCCTAGGCCAAGCCATGGTCGTAGGAAGGTGTACAGATAAGACTTGTCAATTTGCTTTGAGCTAGTTAAAATTACCTTAGAAAGAGAGAAAAGAAAAATGAGAGACATATATATGTATATATGAAAACCACCTTAATTATAAGAATACTGAGCTAGAACACAACTACTTTCTAAAGTAATATTTCATAACAATTACTTTGTTGTGGTCCGTTTACATTACGATGACTCAAAGAAATTCAATTAGAGTTTGGATCATACAACTGTCACTCACTCTTGGAGACTAGCTGGAGTTACTTGAATGGAAAATGTCCAAGAGAATTCCCTGACTCCTGTCATGAATTAGGAGCCACGTGGAGTTGTTTATTGAGGGTAGGAGTGAGGGAAGAGAAGGTGGGTGAATCAAAGGATGACCACATTTAGGGAGATGGAAATCACAAGATCATGATCAGGCATGTTGATTTGGAGGCATTTAAGTTGCCATAGTCTGAAAGCAGGTATGCAGCTCAGGATTAAGGCTTAAACTGGGTACACATTTGAGTGTCTCCAGGGCATAGGTGGCACTGGGGATCATGGGTACAGTTAGGTTGCCTGGAGCCAAAGTAAAGCAGAAAGGAAGAGCATATGCACAAAATGTTTCTCAGGCTTCTTGCTGCAGTTCCCTGCTTTGGACAGATCTCTATCCACATATACTAAGCCCACTCATATTGGGCCATCAATGGCTGACACCCCATATGTGGTCCTCTCACTGTCTCTCCTGGGCCAGTAGATTCTGCAGTGTGGTACCAGAGACACTAAGAGTTTTACCACAATGAATAAGAAAGATGTATCGAAGTCCAACAAGCCTAGGAAATTCTGCTGTTAATTTTGCTCCATTAAGAGGTCTTTTTATCCCATTTTTACTTCCTGACTCAAATCCTTTGTCATCAAACCATAAGATCATACCCCCAATATCATGATAATAAGGAAAAGAAAGGTAAACAATTTTTAGGAGTAATTTCAATAATGTGAATTAATAACATCTTCCCCATCAATATCAGATTAGTGTTCTATTTTTAAAAATTAACTTGAAATAATAAAAGTATAAAGGATACTCTGAGCATCGTAAGGGAAACACTTATATTTTATTTTTCTTATATTTTTGTAATCTTAAAACAGTGCCTGGCAGATGTTATGAGCTCAATTTATAGAATAATCTATTTATGGTTCTGTTCAACTGAAGACTTCCCAAAAAATGAGGACAAATATATTACTTGATACCAAATGTGTATAGACATGTAGAAGCTGTTACTCTTCCCAGAACACAGACTGTATCTGGATGCATTAAATGGCACCTTCACAGCTTTAGATATTTAATGGAATCTTCATTGATTTGAATTCAATTAAATATAAGGACATATATTTGCTGTTTATTCTGATAAGATTCTCACACCACCAAATATATAGTGGAACATTGATCACAGTCACCATAAACTCACCTCTATAGTTTCGGCTTTATACATGACTATTACTGGTACTGTGCCAAGCCAGAGTTTTAGCATTGGTACATGTCTGTTTTCTTCAATGCAATTAATCAGCTGCTGGAAAAACTCTAGGAGAAAATATTTATTTTAAATAAGTTTCTTACTGTGGCATTTTTGGGCTTTTTACTCCTTTTACTTTGGTCAACTCATTCCATATCTCCCAGCTCTTTCACCTCTTAAAGCTAAACCACCCAGATGTCTTACTAAATTATTAATGCAGAATTATGAGGCTAATTTAATTATGAGTGATATATGTGCAACAACCTGGTTAACTGAGAAGTGCCAAGCACTGTGGGTGTTTGTGGTGACCTTATGACATGCCTCCCAAGAGCACTGAGGGTTTTCAGTTCCTCCTAATCTGCTTCAGGCTCTGCTTCTATCGGAAGGGAAACAGGTCCAGCTCTCCAGCCCTGACAGATGCTTCCCTTTCACCCCCTCTAAAACAGTGTGGAAGCTCCTCAACTAGTTGAGATTAGAGCTACTATATGATCCCCCAATTCCTCTTCTGGGTATTTATCTGAAGAACATGAAAACACTAATTCAAAAAATATATGCACAGCAATGTTAACTGCAGCTTTATTTACAATAAGCAGGTTATGGACGCAACCTTTGGTGTCCATCAGTGGATGCATGGATAAAGAAGATGCGATAATAATGGCCCAGCTGGCATGGCTCAGTGGTTGAGCATTGACCTGGTTAGGCCATATGCCCAGGTTGAAGGTTCAATTCCAAGTGTGGGGCATGCAGAAGACAGCCAATTGATGATTCTCTCTCATCACTGATATTTCTCTATCTCCCCCACCATCCTTTCCACTGTGAAATTAATAGAAATTATTTATTTTATTTTTTTAAATATTAAATATTGTCATTTGTGCTAACTTGAATTGATCTTAAGGCTATTATGCTAAATGAAATAAGTCAGACAAGGACAAAAACAGATTGATTTAACTCATATATAAAATATAAAACAAAAAAATAATAAATGAACAGATATAACAAAACAAATTCAAGGATACAGACTACAGAATAGTGGCTACAGAGGAGAAGGAGAGTGGAGAGAGGGCAAAGTAGGTAAATGGGTTTAAACAAGTAGTAATAGATGGAAATTAGACGTTTGCTTGTGAACAACTGAAAGAGTATACAGACATCAAATTATAATATTGTACACCTGAAATCTAGATAATGTTATTAACCAATATTACCTCAAGAAAAAAAAAATTAAAAAAACTCTTCTGTTTTACTAATCTCAAATGTCTCAAGGCCTCTGCAGAACCTCTTCCCCTTTTAGGAAACTCTTATTCTTAATGCTTTTTGTCTAATAACACTTACTTATTTTTCAAGTGTCATCTTAAATGTGATTTTGCTGCAAAGTCTTCTCTGATATTCTAAACAAGATTTCTAGTAATATAACTTTCCACGTTGGCACCCATTTTTTTTAGTACAAGCACTAGGTCTCAGTTTTTCTAAACACTGTCTCACAATAAAATAAACCAATTCTCCTTGGAGAAGTCATTGATTTTAGGGCCGAGGCAGAGAAAAATATAAGAACAGTGGAATATATCCTGGTGCCAGAAAATAAGGAAGTGCTGAGAAAATGATGGGGCCATGTTGAAACACCAAGCAGCCAACCTGAAAAGCTTCTAATACTCCAAACTGGAACAATTAGTGCAACAGAATAAGTAATGACAGAAGTAGTCCGTATCACTTCTCTCGTCAATACCTTACAGTACTCAGTGTACAGCACTTACACCGCTTTGGTTAAATTTATTCCTACGTGTTTTATTTGCTTTGATTGAATTGTAAATGGAACTGTTTCCTTAATTTCTCTTCCTGATAGTCCACTGTTAGTATAAAGAAATGCAAATGATTTTTGTATATTGATTCTATATCCTGCAACTTTACTATATTTATTTATTAACTTAACATTTTGTCAAGTCAATATCTCATGCCTTCTTGAAAGAGAGAGAGAGAGAGAGAGAGAGAGAGAGAAACATTAATGATGAGAGAGAAGCTTTCATCATCTCCCTCCTCCTGCCCCCCACTGAAAATGGAGCCTGCAACCCAGGCAAATGCTCTTGGCCAGAATCAAACCCCAGACCCTTTAGTCTGCAGGCAGAAGCTCTATCCACTGAGCCCAGCCAGCTAGGGCTGCAGGCAGTGCTTTAAGACAGCAGCAGCCAGGACTTGGGAAAATGAGAAAAGGCAGAAGGACAAGCGTTTAGAAAGAGTGCACTTATATGTAATGAAAACTGGAGAGAAGTGGGGACCCATTATCCAGGGGGTGATAGAGGCGCCCCTCACCCAGCAGTCTGCATCTCCAGTCCTGTGCTCCAGGCGAGGATGCGGGAGGTGCTCAGGAGGTGCTCTCGGTGCCCTGGGTTCCCTGCAAAGGGCCCAGCAAGCCCTGCATGGATGCGGCCCGCCTGGGCGCTCAGCCCCTTATCTTTCCCTCCTCGCTTTTGGATCAGCGCGTGTCCCACAAAGGGGTAGGCGCCCGCAATGGTGGGGAGGGGCCTCATTTGCAGCCAGTTACGCGCATAGCTCATCACCATCTGCAGGAAGCTCAGGATGAGGGTGGCGCCCGCCAGGGTGAGGGCGCTGAGCGCGCCCCAAACCAGCAGCTTCTGCCCGACGGGCACCAGCCAGACGGTCATCATCGCACCAGCGGTGGGCTCCGCGCGGGACTGAGACCCAGAACCTTGGTGTCAATTTAAGGCAACTACAGGAGGGAGAGGCGCCTGGGGCTGGGGTGGGTGGTCTCCGTTGAGCAGTGAGCGGTCTGTGGTCTGTGTTAGAATGGAAGGAAGAACCGGGTTTGCAGTTCGGTTTGGGGGTTAGTGTTTCCCTGGCTGGGCGCCCAGCCTCCTGATGCTTCCTTGCGCAACCAGGAGTGTCTTCTGCTCTCCAGGGACTGGCTGCTGCCAGGAGGTGGTTGGACCCTGGCTGAGCTTCAGAGTCACCAAGGACAACATCATAATTTGACCTGGAATCCAACCAGAGGGGGTAGGTGAAATTCGTCATCAGGTCACAGGAGAGCTGAATAATGTTCTTGTGATCCCAATGGTTTCCAAATTATCATCAGGACCAAGAGTCATGGGGTAGAGAGGACGAAGGGCAAGGTCTCTGGAAGAGGTAGAGATCAGAGATGCTGGCAGAGCGCAGGTTGGATAGAGGAACAATCATGATGAGGTAACTCTCTAAGACAAACCACTGAGCCTGTGGAAGAAAGAAGGAAGGAAGGAAGGAAGGAAGGAAGGAAGGAAGGAAGGAAGGAAGGAAGGAAGGAAGGAAGGAAGGAAGGAAGGAAGGAAGGAAGGAAGGAAAAGGGAAGGATGGTGAGCAAGGTGCCCCAAGTCTGCCCGATGCTGTGCACTGACTAGGAATTTTCCTCCTGCAGGTAACGGCCCCCACTCCGGACTGGCTCTCTTCCCTGCAGGTGGTCCCTCCTGCAAAGGCGCTGGGCTGGGCGTGCCCTCTCCTAGGAGCAGGTCCCCAGTGACAGGGGGCACCTAGGGAGAGGACAGAAGCTGAGAAACGCCCTGGATCCCACTTTGTTCAGTCCCCTCCGTGGTACTTGCAGCTCCTGGGCAGGTGGCAGGGCCTCTTTGGGCAGAGAAAAGCATGCTGAAGGCTTTCCTCCAACTGATTTTTTTTTTAAGTCACCTATCTGCACTGACATGGGGAAAGGTTCAGGAAATAGTAAATGAGAAACAAACCTTAAAGCTGCAGAACAGAGTGCATAATGTAGTGCCATCTTTGGGAAGAAAACAGTTTAGTTCTCTGCAGCTAGACTAATGTCTGGGAGGAAAAACACTGGCCAACCGTACGGAATGTCCGCGGAGAAGAACTTACATTCTTTATTTTATTCACTTTGGTATTGTTTCATCTGTTTAAAACTTTACAACATATTTTCTTTAATATATTTAAGTAGATCTCATCTCTCTAAAAGTCTACCACAGCTATGAAACTATGGGGTTTGTCTGTTTGACTCTCTGCTCATCTCTGTGGACAAAACAAGGAATATGTAACCTCTCCCCTCAAGAAGTGGAGAAGGGGAGGGCAGAGTGCTCAGGCAGCAGCCAACAGGAACAGGAAGTGCTCCAAAGCAGAGAAGGGCGTGATGGGTTCAAGCAAGTGTGCGGAGACCCTGCTTGGAGCACAGGTGGCTCAGGGTGACCAGGACAGGACAATGTTCCCCAGTAGCACGGAGCCAGCTTGAACAGACCTTGACTCCCAGCCTGAGAAATTGTATCTTTACTTTGAAGGCAATTTGTGGGTGAGACAGAGAGCACCGAGGATTTTTTGAAAAGGGATAATAAACAAAAGCCTTGTCTCTTTGTTCCCTGAGTCATCATTCTCATCCTATTTGTTACCAGATAGGAGCCAATGCCCACAATTTCAGACTAGACTGGTCAGATGGCCAGGCATGAGAGAAACCCAAGGCGACACCCTTCTCTCCTGGCCACCAAGTTCACAGTCTTCGGATGTTCACCCTGAAACATAATGAATCTGTGTGTAGGGAGCATGGCATTGCCAAGGTGAAGGCCATCTACCTACATTTATCACTGCTACGGCAGCCTCATGGCACTCATCCGGCTGAGTAGGAAGTTGACTCCTAACTTATTCTTTCTATATTCAAGGACAACTTTCTTTCCACTTGGAAGATCTTTGCTACTCTCCCCTGCTTGAAATACATGCCTTTGAAAGTTAAAGTCATATAAGTTATAAACCAAAGCAAAACTTTGTAACTGGTAACACTTTGATTTCTTTAAAATTTCTGTCATTTGGAATGATTCCTAATATGGAAAATTCCTAATTTAGATTTTTTTTAAAATGCTGGTTAAATATAAAACTATTAGAGGCCCTGTGCACAAAATTCATACACAGGAAATGTGTGTTTCTCAGCCCAGCCTGCACTGTATCCAATCTGGGATCGCCCTCACAATTCAGGATTGCTGACTCCCAACCACTCACCTGCCTGCCTGATTGCTTCTAACTGCTTTTTACTGATCACTCCCTAACCACTCCCCTGCCAATCCCTAACTGCTTCCCTGCCAACCTGATTGTC